AAAATTTCAGGCACTATGCTGAGCAATTTGGATGGATTATCTCATTAAATTCTCAAAACAAATCAGTGAGATAGGAACTATTATTATCCCAGTCAATAGATGATGGCATAGCCCTAGAAAGGTCAATGCTAATCAGCCTGAGTAAATTGCATGCACATGGTGAATCTGAGGGGCGAACCCAGGCAATTTAACTTTAGACACCAAATTCTTCCTTGCAAGTTAGCGATGAAATGAAGGATTGGCCACTAAATTGTGTCAAGATGGTTAGCTCTTAAAAATAATAATAATAATAATGCAGATCCCTAACTCTTCATACTTCAAAAAATTCTGAGGGATCAAGGAAAGAAAAATAAGCATTCAACCCTATAAGTAGTTCTTGAAAATAACAAAGAATACTTATCACAGCATTTTCTGAGCTAAAGTAAAACAGAAGAATTGCAAATGAAAAGAAGAATAGATATTAAACAGTCTCCTTTGGTTCTACTTCTCACTTCTGGCCTGTCAAAGTAGCTGCTATTTCCAATCTCAAGTTCTCTGAGCGCTGCTGGGATTGGCTTCCTTCTTGGCTATGGCTTCCTCTGTTTGTTTTTCACTACTACCATTTTCCATACATGTAGCAACATCTAGAAATTTGTTTGTATCTCTCTTTTTCAGAATCTTTAAAAAATGGGAATGGAGTTTATGGCTCTGTAACATTTTTTGCTATTATTTAAATGAATCCCCTGATAGTTAAAATTTGAAACAGTCCTGAGAGCATAGGGTTTGGGGTCATTATTAAATCATATGATTTTAAAATGCAGAACTGACATTATCATGTTTTGTTACCATTTGGCACAACACTTTTCAAAAACAAATTTGCAAAATAGAAAAAGAACATTATTACTAAATAAATTTATAGCAAAAGAAACTTTAAGGTATATAAAGAATTTTACCCAAAATTTTTTTTAAAAAAATGTTTTTAACTTGTAGCTGGACACAATATCTTTATTTTATTTATTTATTTTTATGTTGTGCTAAGGATCTAACCCAGCACCTCACATCTGCTGGTGAACACTCTCCCACTGAGCCACAACCCCAGTTCCCCATTTTCTTTACAGTATATTCTTTTAAGAAAATGATCTTAAGTATGAAAACGATTTGAATCTGAGTTTGATTTGATCAACAGTTTTCCACTGCAGACTTCTTTGTTAATATGAGAAAATGTAACCAGTTTAAAATAAGGTAAAGGAAATATCATCTCTATAGAATATTTTATAGCTATTAAGAAGTTTTAGAATCACATAAAAACATTTATTCTATAATATTAAATAAATAGAATACAAATACACTGAAATAGTAGTTATTTTAAATTTGCATAGAAAATTGCCCTAAAATGCTAAAAGTAAAAGCAGGGTTTGTAGTTCTTTACTCATTAAACAGAAACATTCTATCCTGTCTATTTTTAGCTTTAGTAAATCCACATGATGTATTTTATAAATTTCCAAAGGGGAAAAAAATCATCCTACAAAATATCAACAAGAACAACAGATTTGGAGATTTCCCCTGCCATATACACTGCAACCAGAACCAAAGAGGACTCCTTCATTTTCATCTATTCTGTTATCTACTCTCTCAACCACTTTTGTCAACAAAGTGAAATCTTAACCTTGATAACTTTGGTCCCTATTTCTGCTGGAGTGCGTGCTTCTCTGAAGAGAGAAAATAAGGAAAATGAGTAAAAGTATTCAGAAAATGCAGCAACTATAAGGATACCTATTTTCGCCTTTCATATTTTTCAAAATAGTACTGAAATATTTTTAAAGTAATATACTAAATTAAAATGAATCTTAAACTTTATCTGCAAAAGTATAAAATGAAATTGTAACCACAATAATCTTTTAAAAATACCCACATAGTTATATTTTCTTTTATACTATAATATTAAATACCCTAGATTTTTATAAGCAGGGGATTTGTGTTAATATATGAATTCTAGGGCTAGGGCTGTAGCTCAGTGAGCACTTGCCTCGTCGCACATGGGAGGCACTGGGTTCGATCCTCAGCACCACATTAAAAAATAAATAAATAAAAATATGTGAACTCTAGATCTCACGGTGATTAATCATCCTAGTACTATCACAAAAAAATAAATTTAAGACACATTTATTTTGGTCTGAGTCTGCAAATATTTCACATGAAATTAAGTGTAAAGTACGTTTTCCATTTGAATGTCATTTTTTTTTTCTGCCAAACTCGTGGTTTTATCTATGAAATTCTCTGTAGGCACTGTTGTAATTCTTATTATTACTCAGGGTAAAAAAAATCCTGTGTGTTTTATAAAATGGTCTATTATATTTCTTAATAACTAAGTGTGAAAAACAGAATTTAAAATGTTGCTGGAGCTAAAGGTCAGAATAAAAGTTTCAGTTGTTCATTATTCTGATGCATGGCATGGAGTTTCAGAAAGCATGTTACATCACAGCAATCCTTCATTTGAGTTTGTATTTGATTGCTTAACATCTGTGCATTAAGATAAGTTATTGCACAGACCTCCTTTAGTTTAGATTAGTTTGGAACACATCCCAGGGTATTTAATCAGGATATAATCCAGCATGGTGCAATCTTTAGAAGGTGTGCATGTTTTTAATGAATAACACTTTGTGGCGGTTTGAAATTATCATGCTTTCTTTCTCTCTTTTTAAAAAAATCTGCTAAGAATGTCTACCAACTCACTTTTTGATTATTTATAGCTCCCTGCAAATATAATAGTTAATATTGGATTTGAAAATAGCATCAAATTTAACTGTTACTTCTAAATAGTTGGCTCATTTTGTACATGTCCACCAGATTCAATATGAACTGTGTTGAAAGGTATTACAATATTCTATCATAATCTAAATAGTTCTCTAAACTTTATAACTCATGCAAGTAATTTCCTCTTTAAATTTATTTGGTCAATTTCATAATATGAATAATTTTTGTAACTGAAAATAGAAATTGGGAGGTAGTATTTTAATAAAAAATAAACATCTCAACATCTTTGTAGTTAATTTTGTTTTCAAGTTGAGAAAAGATTAGCCTCCACATATAATTTTAAAATATGGATTTTAAGCTGTTGTTGTATATAAGAAAATAAGCTGAGAAAAATTTGGAGTTCTACAATATTTTTACAGAATACTAAAAATAGATAAAATAAATTAAGCATCACAGAAAATGAGTAAACAATGTGTAAAAAATATTATTTATGTGTAAAAACTATTATCTAAAGTATCATCTCTGATGTAACTTATCTTTTCATTGTTATCCTTTGAATAAATCAGAAATAAAATTTAATGAATTTTAAAAATTTATTTTTTACTTAACTTTAATAACATTTTTAACTTATATTGCTCCTGTAGAAATTAAAAATTTAGAACTTGTGCAAATATGAAACTAACAATTTATTAACTAATTTTTATAACACTTAAAAATGTGAGGCAAAAAGATTGTGGTGACAGTTTTCTAGAACTTATTAAGATACATAATGAAGAGTATCCTTTCTCTGTCTTTCTATTATAGTATTATGCTTTCTACCTTTTTACTTAATTTAAACCCTTTTTGGAAACTTTACAATTATAAATCTTTTTGTGTTTTCTGTATGTAAAAGAAATGCACATTTATCATAAATATGTCTTAATATTCTGTATAAAAGGACCTTTTTTGATAGCTGGTGACAATGTGCCTATTAAAAATTTAAGAAATGCAAATTTCTCTATTTATTGATGTAAAATAACAAAAGTTTCATACCAATCTTTTTGGGCTAGGTAACTTCAGACTCTCTTATCACTGTCTTATCAGTTAAAGAGGCAACAACAACAACAAAAAAAATGAAGAGCAAACATACTTCTGTCTCCATCATGAGTTCTGGACAGAGGAAATTCATTGTCACTATTCACAGGAGTCCTGACCCTAGACTATTGCCCTTTTAATGTTATTCTTGGTACATTCATGTTCAAGCACTCCAGACTTCTGAGGGACTTTATGAACTCAAAAGATGGTGACATTGTGCAAAATGTAACCTTGTTGGGCATACATTTTAAACTGAAGCCACATTCCATAAACTACTTTCATATAGGCTTATGCACCGAATTTTGCATCTTCTATTTAAAGAGAAGGCTTCCAGGGATGTGGCTATGTTTCCCCTGTGACTGCTAGTTATTGCTGTTGTTGCTACTATTATTATTCATCACTTTTTATGATTTTTGTCTTCATTATTACAATAATTTTAAGTGTTACCAATAGGAGAACAAATATATAAGTTTATTGTAAGTGGTGTTATCAGTGGATATGTCTCCAAATCACTGTTTTAAAATAACTCTCTTGGGGAAACTTAACATTGGACTGGTCACATATGAACAAACCCAGCCTCAGATTTATTTCTTTAGTAATTATGTGTGTGGAAATTACATTTTATAACTTAAATAAATTTGAGGTTAGTTTATTACTAAGAAATTAGAGAAAATATACAACTTGACATCTTTTGTGCCTATCATTGTTTCTCCATATGCATAATTTTTACTCTTTCATTTAATAATGAGTAAATTTTTAGAATAAAAACATTTAAATCATTTGAGATACTGAGATTTATGTACATAAATATTGATTCTAGAGCTTCATACGCATTTTCTAATCAATTTATACCTCAGACCATTTTTACTAAGATATTTTAAATGAAACTTCAGAGTCAATCATTTAATATATGACATATATATGGTAAAAAAAAATCTCAGAATTATTAAATTAAAGATGGTGAAAAGAAAAATTCTACTCTGGTTTTCTGGAGGCAATTTAGGTAGAGATGGGTTATAGTCCAAGTATTCCTATACTTGACTGTGACTTATGCAAGAACAATTTCCACAAGAAATTTGCAATGATAAATATGAAGACCTTTATTTTCTATTTATGATGCATTTTAATGTATTGAAAACAAATTATTAACAAACAGTATAGAAAATTTATATTGTTCTCTCTTCTTTGAATAGGTTATGTGGGTATGCAATTTATGTCGAAAGCAACAAGAAATCTTAACCAAATCTGGGGCATGGTTCTTTGGAAGCGGCCCTCAGCAGCCTAGTCAGGATGGAGCCTTGAGTGATACAGCTACAGGTGCTGGTTCTGAGGTACCGAGAGAAAAGAAAGCACGACTCCAAGAGCGATCAAGGTCTCAGACTCCCCTGAGCACAGCTGCTGCCTCCTCCCTGGACACTGCTCCTCCCAGTGCACCACCAGACAGGAGCAAAGGGGCTGAACCTTCACAACAAGCCATGGGGCCGGAACAGAAGCAGGCGTCATCCAGGTCTAGAAGTGAACCTCCAAGAGACAGGTAATATAGTTCATTAATCCTATAAACAAAAGTTAAGGTCTTCTTGAAAAACAAACACATTTTTAAGAATTTAACTTCTACTGAGAGGAATATGTAGAAATAGCACATCTCAGGCCATACACAGAAGGCAACAACAGGCCTAAGCTGTTTTGTCTATTCCTAAAATGTCTATTCCATAGGAGACATTTGTTGAAAAACTTCTTTCCTACCATGCACAATTGTAAGGATAAAATAAATCATTTGATTGAGCTACTAATTTCCAACCTTGAACTAAAAAAAAAAATCTCTTAGATCATTGTTCATTTTAAAATTAGTTCTTTAATTAAAAGTGTTCTTTGAACCAATATGGTAAGGGAACAGGATCTATTGAAGGATGCATTGGAACATCACAGAATTTACAAGAAGGGTGGGATGAGCCTCCAGGTATCTGCATAGGCTTGTGGCCTGAAAGAAACAGTCTGATGTGAGGATGTACTCAAGGATACCCATTGGTATAATGCAAGTACTACAGGAAGAGTGATAGGGAGGTGGCTGGTGAGGTAGTGAGGTGTTTTAGTTAGTTTTTTGTTGCGATGACCAGAAGATATAACAAGGAAAATGTAGAAGAGGAAAAGTTTATTTTGGCTCACAGTTTCAGAGGTTCAGTCTAGTCCATAGCTCTGGGGCTGAGGTGAGGAAGAATATCATGGCAAAAGGGTGTGGTGGAGGGACATAGCTCAGGAAATGACAATCAGAAAGCAGAGAGAGATCTCTGCTCACTAGGGACAATGTATAAATTTCAAAGGCATACCTTCAGTGACCTACTTCCTCAGCCACACCCCATCTGCCTACAAAATTCTTGCTCTGTCTTACACATGAGTTTTGGGGGGATACTTCATACCTAAACCATAGCATCCTGTCCCCGTACCCCTGAAAGCTCATGCCCATCTTATAATTCAAAGTACATTTAATCAGCTGGGCATGGTGGCACATACCTGTAATCCCAGTGGCTCAAGAGGCTGAGGCTAGAGGATCATGAGTTCAAAGCCAGCCTCAGCAACAGAGAGGTGCTAAGCAACTTAGTGAGAACCTCTCGCTAAATAAAAAATATAAATTAGGGATAGGTATGTGGCTCAGTGGTTGAGTGCCCCTGAGATCAATCCCTGGTACCATCCCTTGCACCAAAAGAATTTCAGTTTATTTCCAAGAGTCCCTATAATCTCAACAATTCCCACATTGTCTAAAGTTCTAGTGGAAGATCTCATCTGAGACTCAAGATGAACTCTCAGCTGTGAGAGTAAAGATGAAAAACAGGCTACATAACTCCAACATATAATGGCGTGGAGTAAACATTTCAATTCCAAAAGTGAGAAAGAGAAAGAAGGGATAGGACCAAAGCAAGACTGAAATCCAGCTGCACAAACAAGTTCTGTAGCTCCACAGCAGACATCTATCTGGGGCATATGGTATTGAGTTTTCTCCAAAGGGCTTGTATAGAGTGTTCATGGAAGTTCGCTCGCTCTCTCTCTCTCTCTCTCTCCCCCCCCCCACTTTGTTGTTCCCTTCCTCGATGGATGATGTTTCGCCTCACCTTGAGCCCAGAACTATAGGGTTGGCTGACCATGGATTGAACCTCTGAAACTGTGATCCAAAATAAAACTTTGGTCCTCTAAATTGTTCTTTTCAGGTCTTTTGGGCACAGAAACAAAAAGCTAAATGAAATAGAAATTGATAACAGGAGTGGGGTAATTGCTGCTTCTAATACATGAGGGGACAGGTTCAATTTTCCAGATTTTATCCTAAGCATGATAGCATGCCACTGAAGATTTAAACAAGGGATAATGTGATCAGGTAATTTATTTCAATCAATTGCTTGATTCATTAATAAAATGTATTTATGGACAGACAATGCTATACTGTAGGAAATAGTGCTAACAAGGATGACATAGCCATTCTCATCATGAGGCTTATAGTGTAGGGGATCTGTTAGGATTTGAATTAGGCTCAATTACTTTTGTCTAACTCTTATTTATCCCACTGAGTAATAGTAGGCTCCAAGTCATCTTTTGATCCCCTTTTCAAATAAAGTTTATACAATATAATCGGGCACTTCAAAATTAAGCAGGTCAGGATAACAGTCAAGACTCTACCATTATAACCACCTCACAGGGTGTGGCAAGAATTAAAGGACAGTGTATGTTTCCAAACTGGCACATGGTAGGCATTATGTGAATATGCCTATTATTGAAGTTAGCAATCATAATGTTTATTTACTATAAGTAAACACAGTGCCAACAGCCAGAGGGTATAAAAATGAATTAAGATGTGGTCCCTTTCCTTACAGACCCTGGGGAGAGGTCAGACAATATCCCAGGAAAGACAGACACTTAGGCTGTTAGGTAGGATGCTGATTTCATCAAAGTTAAAAAAAAATGCATTTAGTACTTTGGTAGCCCTAGGGAAAAGGAAATGATTTCTGAATTAAGCTTTGTAAGCTATCCAGGAGTTGTAGGGGAGGTACACGGAGTAGAAGAGGACAATACATGATGACAGAATGAGTGCCTAAATTATTTGAAGACAAGATAGGAAGGACATCAGTGATACCTTAGTGAAGGTAGAATTAATAGCAAACTGTCATGGGTGAGGGATAAACAAGAATATTAAAAGTACAGGTTGGGACTGGTCAGAAGATATCTTTAAACAAAACTAAAAATTTGGAGCTTTAAAGTTGTTGAAAAGTATTCTAGTTTTGATGTATGGTAAAAAATGACATGAATTTCAAGAATGAGAACTGAGGCATTTGTTTTGACTTTTTAAATGAAATTTCAATACCAATGGGGCAAGTACATTTACTGATGGTGTAGGAGCAGGGCAAGGCTGGTAGGTTGCAGTATAGGATTGGCAACTTCAGGAAGAAGCAGGACTGAAAGGAAACCAGTCTGTTTATTTGTTTTCAATTCTTGAAGATTTCTTGTTTGTATTTTGCACATTGATCAGGACCTAGTAGAAATAAGACAAAAGTTGAGGGGAGAAAAAAAGTATAATTAGTGGAACAAAGAGACAAGATGGAGAATACTTTCCATTTGCATAATACTCAACTCTTCCATAAAGCATCTCCACAGTTGGTTTTCTTTACTGCTCACATGAACTCTGCGAGGCAAGCAAGTGTTATGTATTAGCATTTCAAGAAAAGCAATTGATTCAATATAAACTTCTATCAATAGCATCTCTGCTTTAAGGAGCTACCAAATATTTGTATACAAGCATCACACTCTTATGAAAGCTATCTTTGATAATGAATAATATGTGATTATACTAGACACCTTACACTGTAAAGACCATTATTTCCTTCAGGACCAAATCCCTTTCATTTCAAAGGGATCTTGAAATTCTTTCACTTTTTCCCAAACAATGATATAACCTTTGAAGAGTCTTCCTTTCAGACCTTAGAATTCCAAAATAAGCCTTGGGTTGCTTCCATTTGAATCACACATTAGATCATATAAATACACTTAGCTAAGTTATCTAGTTTTCACAACTTCTGGCATAATAGCTGGAACTTCCCCAAACCAGGTGCACTTCAGTGTACAGGGAAGTACTGAAAGGGACAACAGAATGATACATTTACCAGACTGAAAGATCACCAAACCCCTTTCCTTTACTTTTATCTTTGCCAGTATGTTTGACAGCATAGAAAAAGTAGAACTCCAAACTATTTGCTTCTCTTGGATCCTATTCTGAAATGAGTAGAAAGAGAAGGAGGAAGGGAGTATGAATAACACTTCAAAAATTGCCAATGTTTTTATTATTGTTACCTGAAGAAGTTAGAACCAACTTCTGAAAAAGTGTTTGAGTGTGATCAAGTCAGAAATTAATTTGTTCTACTATTGATGAAGTGCTATTAGAATTGATTTCTGAAATGGACATTCTTGTACTTACATTTCAGTTATAAGTGATTGTTACCATATTATCCACACATATCAAATATATATTTGGTTTTGAAGTAATATATGTATATATTATTCTGCTCCTATACTAACTATAGTATTTTCATCGAAGACATTTTTAAGTCTTTGAGTCACAAACAGAGGGTTGCATAAAATTTGTCCATTGATTGAATTAATTTATTAATGTATTTTATTGTTTCAGTTAAAATGAAAAACTTACATTGTGAAAATAACTTTTCAAGTCTTTGAATATATTGTGTTGCAAAGGGGTCATAAAAAAAAACTTAAGCAATCCAGGTTTAATGGAGCTCTTCATCATCTCAATTCATTAGACGTGGGATTCTAATTATTTGGAATGATTCAAGACTGGAATGCAAGATGAAATGTTACTTAAGTCTTTTCCTTAAATTTAATCAATTGCTTTCCTTCATGACGTTCCTTTGCATATCACAGGAAGAAGGCTCCAGAGCAGAATGGCAAAGGAGCCCTGAAGAGCGAGAGGAAACGCGTGCCAAAAACCTCTGTGCAGCCAGGGGAGGGGGCTGTGGAAGAACGGGAACGGAAAGAAAGGCGGGAAAGCCGAAGGCTTGAGAAAGGGAGATCACAGGACTACCCCGACGTGCCAGAAAAACGAGAGGATGGAAAAGCGGCGGAGGATGAGAAGCAAAGGAAAGAAGAGGAATACCAGACCAGGTACCGCAGCGACCCGAACCTGGCGCGGTATCCGGTGAAAGCGCCGCCTGAGGAGCAGCAGATGCGCATGCACGCCCGGGTGTCCCGAGCGAGGCACGAGCGGCGCCACAGCGACGTGGCGCTCCCGCGCACCGAAGCGGGAGCCGCGCTACCAGAGAGCAAGGCCGGCAAGCGAGCGCCGGCCGCCGCCAGGGCCTCGCCGCCGGACTCGCCCCAGGCCTACTCGGCCGAGAGGACTGCGGAGACCAGGGCGCCCGGCGGCAAGCCGCCAACGAACCACAGCCCGCCGGCGCCCAGGCATGGGCCGGGCCCCGCAGAAGCCCCGGAGCTCAAAGCCCAGGAGCCCCTCAGGAAGCAGAGCCGCCTGGACCCCAGCTCAGCGGTTCTCATCAGGAAGGCCAAGCGCGAGAAGGTGGAGACCATGCTGCGGAACGACTCCCTGAGCTCGGACCAGTCTGAGTCCGTGCGGCCATCGCCGCCCAAGCCCCATCGGTCTAAGAGGGGCGGCAAGAAGCGGCAGATGTCAGTGAGCAGCTCAGAGGAGGAAGGCGTGTCCACTCCCGAGTACACCAGCTGCGAGGACGTAGAGCTAGAGAGCGAGAGCGTCAGTGAGAAAGGTAAGGGCGCGGCGCTGTCCCTGAGCTGGGACTTTAGCCAGGCTTCCAGGTGCCTGTGCCAGGGTGAGAGAAGTTTGAGTGCTCGGTCAGAGATGCGTGTGAGCCAAGCTCAGTGGCGTGTGTGTGTGTGTGTGCCCCCGCGTGCGCGCGCACACACGTGCCAAGCTTAAAGATGCATGTGTGGCGGGGTTAGAAATTCGTGTGTGCAGGGTTAGGAGTGAGTATGCTACGATCTGAATGTACAAGTGCCCTGGTTAGAAGTGCATATGTTCCAGGGCTGGAGGTGAGGTTTGGAATGCTCATGGACAGTGATTCATCCAATAGAAGGTTTTTGACGGATTCATTGATGGATTGATGGGATTTTTAAAAGAAAGAACTATAAGCTCTAAAGTTGAGTTAGGAGGCTTTCTAACTGATTTTGGTCCCAGTCATCTTGGGAAATGGAGTACACACTCATGTTTTGTAAGTTATTTGGGTGTGAGTTTATTTGGAGAAAATAACTGATTTTTTAGAAAACAAAAACTGTACCCTATAAAGAATAATGTACTTTTTTCTTCCAAAACTTCAGTTGGGTATATTTGAGTCACACTGGTAGCATTTGTCAAATTTCAAGCTAATTCTCCTCACAACTTGTGAAGAAATTACATCATGAGGGTATTATGTATTGAGTTTGGGGTAGTAACTTTGAGGTATGAAGTTCACATTCCAGAAGTTTGGGGGGCATGGTGTGAAAGGCTGACTTTTTTTTTAATGTCTAAATCTGCACTGTACAATATACTATAGCCTCATGTAGCTGTTTAGACATAAATTAAATAAAATTCAATAAACTTAAAAATTCAGTTTCTCCATCATACTAGCCACATTTCAGGTGTTCAATAGGGATAACCACAAAAAGTCCCATTAGGCAGTGCTTATCTAGAAAATACTTCAATTTAAAATCAGTTTTCATGCATTTTTGAAGGTTATTCTCATTTTGATTCTGTTTTCTCAGATTTAAACTGACCAGAGTCTCACTTTGATGGTAGTCATCATCATTGCTGCAATGTTGAGGTCAATGGGTGATTCTTAATGAATTTTTATTTTGGGGATTTTTAAAAAAAAATTGTTGGCTTGCTTTGTAATTGCTAGATGATGTACTAGAAATTATACATTTTATTTAAGAGTCATTTTTCTTTCTCATCTTCTGTCTCAGAACTGCATGTCCATGTCCTCTCCCTGTCACATATATGCTCAATCTCATGCTTTATGAAGAAATAATTTAAAAAGCTAGTTCTATCATTATTATTGCAAATCAACTTGAAATAGGAGTCTTTAGAACATATGAACACAGGGTAAGTTTAACTCTCATTATCTTGCCTTCTGATCACTTCTCTTTATAAGTTGCATAGGATCTACAGGCTTTAAAAGTCAGTTGATGAGTAGACTTTGTTAACTGCCTTTTGTTTTCCCCCAAAGTAGAAAAGTAAGTGTTCAACAAATATATAAATAGATGAAGTTAGTTGGTGTAAGGAGAACTCTTGATGGATGTGGACATTGTATATTTTCTTTGAAGAAAGGACACTACACCAAATCTTATTTAAAGTGTGTTGTATATCATAATGGGGGCAGAATTAATCCCCCCCAATTATTGAAAGTAGCAAAAAATGAATAAAGAAAACCTGAATAAGGGCTTGGGTAATTGGAGGAATGGGGCTGGTATGATGTGGTGAATTTATTGCCTCTTCAGGCTATTTTTCTGGAAATTTATCATTTTAGAAACTTTGGTGACTTCTTGGGATACACACATCTCTAAAGCTAGTGTTAAACCTCTTCATCTGGGAACACAAGGTCATCACATATACATTTATCTATTATTAATAGTATTTTTAAAATTTTAGACAGGGTCTCACTATGTTGCTTAGGGCCTTTCACTAAGTTGCTGAGCCTGGCTTTGAACTTTTGGTCCTTCCACCTCAGCCTCCCTAGGTGCTAGGATTACAGGAGTTCACCACCCTGCCCAGCCCCCATAGTATATAATTTTAAAGGGACAATGAGAAACAAAAATAAAATTTTACTATATCCTAAGCATTTGTTTGTTATGTTTATCCCTTACAGGTATAAATTAAACCATTTAAGAAAATTCCTAGTCCATGGTAATTATTTAATATATATGTACTATTCTTTTCATTTGATATTATTGTTTTACTACTTTGATGAGTTGATTCTTATATTTACTAGCAAATATGTATTTAGCACTTTCTGTGGATATACTGAGGTTAAAAGATAAGTATGTTCCCTTCCCTCATAGAACTTACATTCTGTTGGGAGAAGTAATCAATAAAAGTTAATTGCACAATAATATATAATTTCATAAATGCTTTAAAGAGATATTTCTGTTACATATTGATGTACTTTTACTATGTGCTAAAGTATTTTTTTAACAAGAAAAGATAATGCAGTCAAAATGGCATCTGAAAGATAGCACAGCTGGACATGGTGATAATTGCCTGTGATCCCAGCTAGGAGAAAGTCTGAGGCAGGAGGATCACAAATTTTAGGCCAGCCTCAGCAATTAAGGGAGACCCTTTCTCAGAAATAAAAGTTGAAAAGGGCTGGGGATGTAGCTAGCCTAGAGGAAAGTGCTTGCCTAGCATGCACAAAGGCTCTGGGTTCAATTCCCAATAATAAAAAAAGAGAAATAAAAGCCATTACATCCTTTATATTCAACATATAGTCTTTCATATATAGTTTAATTCTGTTCTCTCTCTCTCTCTCTCACACACACACACATACACACAGACACACACACATACACACACATACACACACACACACACACACACACACACACACACACAGTGAGTGACCTCTGTACTGGGATTATCCAAAAATTGAGGTCAGCTACCTCTTTTTAAACGTAAGTGACATTCATATTGCTGTAGTCAAGAGGGAAAAACTGGACATCTCTTGTCTACTAGCGTGTAAATATTAACTACTATAAATTTCTCTACAGAGAAAAAAAACAATGAACTAAATATTGATTGCAAAATAAGGTTTTGAATTTAAATGAAATCTGTAATATAATCAATTAGGAGAAGGTCTAGTGAAAATTTATGCCTCTAAGGAAGTGATTAAAGAGGTTTATTAGTAAAGAAAGATGGAGATGGTGCCAATGTTGAGGATAGAAAAATTGTTTAATTTCTGTGAAGATACATGGGAACATTGCTGCCTTGTTTCAAGTGGGTAAGTCACTTATACTTGTAAGGACCTTACTATATTCATTTTAAGATATAATATGCAGTATATTATATATTTATATATAAGGACTTAGTAATATATTAGTCCTAAGCTAGAAGGAGTTGGAAGAAGAATGTGGCATTGCATAACAGAATTTCTTTCCTTTTTTTATATTTTCCTTAATTGACTTTGAGTTAATTAAAGAATGCAATACAAATTAAGCAAACCTTTGAACTTTTTCTTTTTCAATTTTTGATACTAGATATTGAACCTAGGAGCCTTGTGCCACCTAAGTTTCCATTCTGCCACTCAGCTATGCCCCCCACCTGCCTTTGAACTTTTAAATTGCTAATGAATGACTGATGTTTATAGGAGATGGAAAAGGTAGAGTAGCCTGCTTTTGGACAGAAGACCTTGCCAAGTAGGCAGGAAAAGTGTGGTGGTAAAGGATAAAGCCATCTGATGTGATTCATCTCTCAAGAGACCCTAGATTCAGTGGATCCGGAAATGAGAAGGAGAGCTGCTTCTTGGGAGGTTCACTTAATATTTGTTGATAGGACAACTATAACACACTCTTCTTCATACCTCTTGTACAAAGTGAAGGCTGAAATTTAATTCCTAGGTAGAAATCAATTGAAATTCAGTGAAAGGCTTCAGTGAACCTCAAAGAAATTGGAACTCTAAGACTCTAAGATTCTCACCCTCATGATCCAGCATTGTACTCCACATCTAATTTACCTAAAGAAGGATACCAGTTCATTTACCCCATTTGTTAACAAATTTCATTTTAGTATTATTGTCTACAGCAGCAGAATAGTTAAGATCTATGTGGAAATGCTCTCTCTTGCTGCTCACAAAAATCCATCCAGTACCCGATCTCAAATATCAATGAACAACAATGTCCATTAGATATGAAAAGTACCAGCAGGATGAACCACAGGGGATCAGGATAATCCAAGACACATTTACTTTAGAAGAAATAATTCAAGAGCAGGAAAGGGCTTAAAATCAAACAGAACAAAATGTTACACATCTTAGTGAAGTTTAGTATATCTGAAATGCCTAAATCTCATTCCCAGGAAAGTTTGACTTCCCAAATACAGATATTCTTTGTAAAATATTTTTAGATATTAAAGTTGTTAATCAAACTCATAGAGAAATTTTGGATACCAAAACCCTTAGCATTGATGAATTTGGACAGAAGGACAAAGTACAAGACTATACAACCGAACTCAAGATTACAAGTTTGCCTGCACAGGTAATTCTCCTAGCCAGAAAATACAGCATCATGATCAGAAACATTAAAATAAAAGCTAATGTAAAGTTTATGAACTCCTTTGGATCCAGAAAGAGGTAGCTATGAAATTAGCTATGAGGATGATAAAATAAGAAATAATATATTATCTAGTCTCCAACACCTGGAGACTAGATAATATACTACTGACTGAACAATGGGTTGCAGAAGATATCAAGGAAGAGATTTAAAAAGTTTTAGAGGTGAATGAGGTGAATGAGAACACAGATACAACATATCGAAATCTCTGGGACACTATGAAGGCAGTTCTAAGAGGAAAGTTCATTGCATGGAGTTCATTCCTTAAAAGAAGAAAAAGTCAGCAAATAAATGACTTAACATTACATCTCAAAGCCCTAGAAAAAGAAGAACAAATCTGCACCAAAAGCAGTAGAAAAAAGGAAATAATTAAAATCAGAGCTGAAATCGATAAAATTGAATCAAAAGAAACAGTTGAAAAAATTGACAAAACAAAAAGTTGGTTATTTGA